GACAAGTCGTATCCTGGGAAATAGACGCTACTGAGTCCGTTAGCACCATAGCGGGGCGAATCTGTCTTAAGGACATAGAATCAAATTCTAGCCTCGACTTTTAATCAGGTTCTTTTATTTTATAGGTTTTATTTTATTATATTAAACTATATATTATAACAAATTATATATATATATATATATATATATATATATATATATATATATAGATTATTATAATAATTATATATATACATTATATTTTTCAGATAATATTTAAATAAATACTACTATAGTATATAGTATACTTAGACCATATTTTGGACAACAAATATCACTAAAATTAAAAATGTATATTAAAAGGATCTTTTAAATAGATGAAATATTAAGATTTTTGTTAAAATTTCTTGCAAACATTTCTAAATTTCCTTTGGCAATGTGAGTAGAAATCAATAATCTTTTAAATGCAGAATGTTGGAACTTCTATTATGTGGCCTTAGTGACCACAATGAAGTTGTCTTTCTATTATTCTTAGGGATTTGAAGCTCTGTAATGTGGGCTTAGCAACCACAGTTTCTGCCTTTCTGTAATGTTTGTGTAGTCTTCTAAACCACCAATTGAGTACAATTGAATGCAAAGAGAAAAGTACAAGAAGATATTCTAACTTATAGATATATCGTGGGACAGATTGGTGGGTTTTTAGTAGTTTGAATGGTAAAACTTTGTCTAAAAAACAAAAATCTAAACTGTCTTTGACTTGATGTTGAGAAATAAGACCTAGAGATACGTTAAAATTAAAATAAAAATTACTATTATTTTTATTATTATTTTCTTGGCTTATTAATTTACTTATGGGTTTTATTTTGTTTTTGGCTGTTGCATAGGAGGATCATGTGCTCGTTATTCCTAAGGATATTAAAAAGAAGCCTATGGTTGCAATTGTTAAGGTGATTCTCTCTCTTATACTTGTGTGTAAATTCTTGGTAATTGTGCTAAACTCTTGTTGACATTTTGGCTCCCACATTGTAAATACATCTCATGTTGAGATGGAATTGCAGTCCAACTTTAGTGGGAGGTTAGGCTTAGTGTTGGACCACAAGGCAAGTTCCTTGAGCACAAGGTTCATGTCTATTTAATGTTTTAATCATCAATTTGTGAAAATTTGGGAACTGTTATAACTGTTAGAAAGGAATGGACAGATATTTCATCCAGTAGACGCGGAATTGATCACATAGAAACAAAACATAAACCATATTGAGGAATGATGCCCAGAAGGTTTAGATGTTTAGTAAACAAACTCCATCTTAGTATCTCAATCTATTTTGAGACTAATATTTGAGAAACCACATTAGTTCTCATTGATTATTTTTGTCCTTTGATGCTTTGCATTTTATTGAATTACATCTGAGCATTACTTCTTGCTAGTTATTATTGAAAAAATAATGTGCTTTGAAAACTCAGTGTATCTTTGGGAATATATGCTGTGTATCTTTTGATTGTCTTTTTGAGTCTTAAGGAAGTGGATTTTGAACTGTGCCAACGACCTAACTTTGTGATTATTGACGGGTCAAAGTAAAAGTATGAGATTCCTAAGAAAAACCTTCAAATTCAGATCTCTACTTTATTGACTGCTTTCCAAAGTGTCAAAAGGGCTGAAAGATAGTGAAGAGTGAAGACTGCCATGGCTCACTAGCTGTAGTATTGGTATCACTTGGGATTGAATTTCGCAGCTTTGAGCGCATACTAGAGAACCTGCTACAGATGATCGATAAGTTAGAAGGACTATTTGAAGGATCTTGAACCCCTCTTCTTTTTGCATTTTTCTCCAGAATTTTAGAGCCAGCAAACAGTAATGGAACTCACAACCCCAATCTCTTTTTAGGCTTTTCAATAGGGAGAGTTTGTTAAGTTTACATAGGCTGAAACTGGCCAACTGATTAAACAAGAAAAGAAGGGTCCAGAGGTTGCATCAATACAGCTATATCCTGAGGGGAATTTAACAGTGGGAAGATAAAGTTAGTTTCAATAAATAACTGTTGGATTTAAAGCCACAAGCATCGATAAGCTTGCATGATCATAATTCTTGTCATACTTTATTTTATTAAAAACCTCCTTTTATATTCAGGACTCAAAACACTAGGTAACATAAAACCTATTTGGGACTTATTTGATGCATAATTGTTGCTTGTATTCATTCAAATAATAATTGTTGGTTTCTAATACGTTAAATGTTTTATTTCAAGTTTTATGTAGAGTAAGATGATACTTGGTACATAACAAAGATAGTAAATGGGTGAAACTCATTGTTAGTTGGCTAGATCTTTATTTTTCTTGAAAAATGGTATTAGTTGGGCTGTCCATGTTGTACTTGTTGATTGATAATGCCAATTTTGTTTTCTGGTTTTCAGTTTGAGCGGATGCCGACACATGGTTTGAACGGCAGCAACAAGAGGAGGAAATGCAATGTCTTCAGGCAGAGAACGGGGCTGCAATGCAGGAGGCAGAGGAGCTGCACAGAAAGAAAATGGCCCAGGAAAGAGAAGGGGAAAAGGAAGAAGAAACAGAGACCAAGGATGACCCCATGGCAAAGGCTGAAGCAGAGGTTTTGAATGAGAATAGTTAGTTCCTGTTCAAATGGTCTCTTCTATCAAATTCTTTCTCTGTTCAAATGGTTTGTTCTATCAAATTCATATGCTGATTTCCCAATTTGACTTCCTTCACTGGGATACAATATGATTGATTACAACCACGGAATATGAGACGGTTACAATTTGATGCAAATCCTAAGGATTTATTTGGTTAGTAAATTTGGTTTACGAATGGATTGATCTTGATTATAAGAATTTATTTATTTATTTTAAATTTGCTTCATTTTTTGTGCACTATATGTTTTTCATATATGGCATGCATGCAGCAAATATAATTACTGTCATGCCTATCGCGACATAGGTAATGACAACAAATACAAATGTTGCCTAGAAATGCTACCATGTAGCTATGGCAACACTTTTTTTACTTTTAACAACAAATAAAATTGCTGTTAGAGAACATAGTTGTTCTAGTGATTAAAAACATACCAATGAACACATTTCAAATAAAAGAAACAAAACCATTATTGCCCATTTTTATGTGACTAATAAAATATATATAAAAAAAAAACACTTTATGAGAACATTATTCACTGTTAAAATGACTTTTCAAATAAAAGAAACATATAGCTCCATTGGGGTCTGCAAGAACTCAGAAGAAAGAGTGCAAATAACAAATCTTTTTCTAAGCCTTTATTCAAACGGTTAATGGGTTAAGCAGCGATGAAATAATTGGGGAAGATAAAACAAAAAGTGAAACAAAGGATGAACTAACATTAAGATATTGTGAATAACTGGTTGACCATAAGCAGGAAAAATCAGAGAAAAAACACAGGAAACTGACTATGGATACCATATGAGATATTGCAAGAAGTCAGTGGATCAGAAAGGAAAAAATCTAAAAAATACACACACATATAGTACAGTACACGTGGAGTGATGAACTGTACGAAATCAAAGGATCAGATTATATAACAAAAAGAATACTATAAAACATGAAAATATAAATGTGAAAGGTAAAAAATAAAAAATGTAAAAGGCACAAAAAAAAAAAAAAAAAGAAAAAAAAACGGAATCGAGATCTCATCAACACGAAGGCCAAAAACAAAAAAACAAAACAAAGCAGACCCATGGACTATCTAAACTGCAAGAACCCATATCACTGCAAATACAACAACATATAAAAGGTGAAATGTATGTTTTCGTGATGTGGACTGGAGTCAGTGTTTGGGTAGACGAATAAAAGGTGTTTGGTTCAACAGCCAGGGTAGCCAGAGTTGCAGAAATGGTGTTTGATTGTATATGGGAAAATGACCAAAAAAATGGTAGATTCATTCACTCATTTGGTATTGTCAGTTGACAATGTGTCCCAGAGCCCGCCCTGATATTGACAAAATCTTGAGAGGAACTTAGATGTGAGGCCTTTTATACACAAGGTTTCTTTATAAGAGTGAAATTTTTATTAAAATGAGAAGATAAGCACATAAAATATATTAATGTTGAAAAAAAAAAAAAAAAAACAAACACAATTTATCAATTTCTCTCAAATTCTACATATGCCATCTCTCATAATAAAGTTAAAAAAGTACATTTTTTTTAACAAATGCTTAGTTCAATCCCTATGAGATAGATGAGCTAAAGAGTTAGAATGATATCATGTTAATTTAAACTCCAAAAAGATTTTCAAGTTTTCGAATGTATCAAATTTAGAACTTTCAACCCATTCTAAATTCTTGAAAAAAATGTAGAATTTTGCCTTATGGGAGTTCTTATCAACTTCAAATGACTTCAAACTTAGACCCAAACATTTCCCCTTTATATCAAATCAATTATATAAGTAATACATAACTAACTTATATTTATTCAAATTTCATCCAAAAATATATTATCTACCCCAAGGACTGCATTTAATTTCAAAGTAATTGCTATCATACATAGATATTAACACATAAAATTAGTAAAGGACCGCATTTAATTTCAGAGTTAATTACTGAAATACACACTAATATACACATAAAGTAGTAAGGCCATATTCAATTTCGAATTTAATCACTAAGTTTTTAAGGGCCCAAGTTTGAATGGGCTAACGAGAGTGTGAATTTGTGTAATTGAACTTTAAGTTTTTATTTTATTTTATTTTATTTTGCCTATGGCTCTTGGGAAGGGGCCTAATATATATATATATATATATATATATTTGGGGTCTATCACTCATGGGATTGAAAATTTGAGGCCCTCTAAATGGCATTTAGAGGCCTAGGCGACCGCCTTGGTCGCCTTGGACCAAGGCTGGCCCTATGTTCGACAAGGGGTCGGAATTTTCACAGATGGGGGCATTTTGAAATATTGACAAACCATAGGAGGTGTAAATGAATTTAACCCTAATAATAATAATAATAATAATGATTCATGCAGTCATTATGAATTAATTACCTGGCCAAAGATTTCAATATTTGCTTGGGGATAACACCAGAGATGAAACAACCTGAATGAATGACATATGAACATTAGAAATATATATATATATATATATATATATATATATATATATCTCAATTAAGAGCTGTAGTAGTTTTTAAGATTCCATTAAGAAAGAATAAAAACAGACTTACTTCATTATAGGAATCTCAGCAAATGGGCAAGCAAGGCCTACAAAGCAAGCCAAGGCAAACCCTAGCCTGGTCCTATCCAGTAACAACCACATCAATTCAGCCCCTGCAAATAATATGCATGCTTCAATGTTGTCTGCGACTCCAGCTTTGTACAATTCAGCACTCACTTCGATAAATACTATCAATGCTCTGAATAATTCAAAGGATAACATAATATAAGATGTTAGAAGTCAATTTTACACCCCCATCACTAATCATTTAAAATGATTAATGTTCATTCAAGTTCAGTGTTTCCCTGCTTATAGAATAGAGTAAGCGATAGGTTTTGAACCCAAGGGTTCTCCTATTGCGAGATTTGGGGAGGGTCAGAAGTAAAGGATCTTAGTTCTCTGTTTATAAAACTCATGACCTCTGTCCATGTCACAATGAAGCAACTTTACCAATGCGCCAAAGGGATCCACCCTCTAGAATAGCATAAAGAACCACCCCAAATAATTGACAAAAATGGATTGTTGAGTTGAGATACTCACACAAGTGAGAGAGTGGTTTTCTCTAGGTTCCCCTCTGGAACATTGGAGGGAAACTTTTCATCCAAAAACAGTTGCAGCAACCCAACAGTGCAGTAGAACAATCCAAGTAAAGGAGGAACCTACCAAATGAAACACTGCTTTTAGTTTTCGAGAGCTACTTGAAATTAACTGAACTTATCATCTATAACATAATAAAAAGTAGCAAGCAGACCACATGCACAAGAAGGCAAGTTAGAAAAGAGTGTTTACAGTAATACCCACCCAGATGTTTGTGTGAAGCGGACCGATTTCGATCGACCCGTTTTGGTATAACACAAGATTTACCCTGGAATGAATTCCATCAATTAGGGGACCCAACAAGAAACCTGATCCGAAAAGGGAGAGAAAGAGGGTTGGCCGCAAAGTGTTTCTCAGACTTGTTTTGCTTTGTTTTCTCATACAGCAAAATGTTTTAGGTACAGAGTGATTTGGACTTGTATGGTGAGGAAATTTGGGAAGAAATCCACAGGAGTTGAAAGCAGTGAGGGTGTGCATTTTTTCCCCCACACATTTGGGAATCTAAACACCCCAAATTCATATACTCCGTCGTATCATCTTTGTATATAACTAGTTTCATGGGAGAGATGGAGAACAATTATTATTATTATTATTATTTTCCTCCTCAATTCTGGACCACAAAATTGCATATGAATCATCAGAATTGGTGGCCGTTGTTATATATCCCCAGTTTCACCTGCTAGTTACTCACAGTGAAAATGGTGGGCGTTTGGGGCCAATAATTGAAAGAACTGCAGACAGATACAATATCAGTGTAAATTTTTATTTTTATTTTTATTTTTTTATTTTTTTTATTTTCAGTAATGTTCCAGTTGGTTAATGACAAAGATTAGTCTGCAACAATCCAAAACGATAACGTTTTCTCTTAACACCGGTGTGGTGCCTGCCAAACAAGCTTCGATGGCTAAGTCAGCTTACAGAATCAAATAAGCAATTCATGACGTGGAGTTCAATATTGCACGTACCTCATTAGTTAACGGGAGTTCGTTTTTTTATAGCTAACTGAGCCGAGTGTTTGTTGCAATCTTTAAGGAGAGGTTTTGTCAGTAATTTGAATTTCATATAATCAAATCAAGACCACCTTTCGAATTTTATCACCTCATCACCTTATCATCTTATCCGTTTGTTCAGCCTCTTTTGTTGATTTCCTCATCGGTTGCCCCCCATTCCTGAATTCTTGCTTGTCGAAAGTCAGGATCGCCGTATAAATTCTCACTATTTTCGTATGTATATATATATATTTGTATATAAATCTTCATCTGTACTTTATAATTTTCATACATATACAAATTTCCTATAGTTGAGATAACTTTTCAACAAGGTGTGCAAGTTAGCAAATAATGAATAGTACTTTAAACTAAACATACCTCGGTTCGCCCACTTTGACAAGTGATAATGTTTGTGCAAAAGAGTTTAAAAGCAAGTAATGAACTTATCATCTAAAGTAAGGTGTTCTAATTTGTTCCATCAATTTACTGGTGATAGCAAAAAAAAAAAAAAAAGCACTAAAACTTGTATTCTTGCATAAACAAACAAAGTAAATATAGTTTAGTTATTGCCAGGGATTAATTGATGCTCTGTTCTCTGGGCGCCAAATGTTGGGCGAGTCATTGCTTGCCCAATGGCTCGTCCATTTTAATGGTTGAGAGCCTTACATCAAAGTATTTGATATACTCTAATCAATCACACCCCTCTTATAAGAGTTTTAACTAAGCCTTATGGATTTGATTCCACAGTGTAGGATTTGTTAAGTGAAAAATAAATAAATTAACCAATAATTTTAACGATAAACAGAAATACTCCTGATATGTGTCTAGTGTATTCTAACATAAATAGAATTCTTGGGCAATGCATTTAATTCTAAAACAATTAGAATTCTTGGAACATCATGAGACCCAATTTCAATTTGTATCTATTACGTATTCCTGATTCCAATTTCAATTTGTATCTTTATAAAGCATAGTAGAGAAAGGGTTTTAGCTACCTCCAGTGCTGAAAAAATTCCTACAACCTAATACGTGTAATGGAACTTTCTCCCTGGATTCTTCAAATCACCTACCTTTCTTTCTCTTTGCTCGTCTCCTATATTTTTATCGTTTTGGTTCTCCAAATCCTTCGTTTGAAGAGTTCACAAGCTTGTGCTTGTACCAGTCGGTGAGCGAAATTTTCAACATACTTTGCTTTGTTGTAAATCCTTCTTACAATCCTACGATGTCTTCACATGAGGTGGTCAGTTTGCATGAAGAAACCAGCGATGAAGAAAGATCCGAGTACGGCCCGTCCCCACCATGCAAAAGACTCGTAGAGAAAGTGCAAGACATGCAGTGTTCACTTACTTTGGTAGACTTAGAGCACTTCAGGTCAAAATATTCTATTCTCAAGACTGTTTGTCTGCAGCTTCCGACTCCTAAGGAAAGAGCTTGTACTCCTGTTCTAGGCGAACTATGCTTTTATGAGTTCGCTCTTTTTTCTGGTCTGCGGTTCCCAATTCCTACCATTATCAGAAAGATTCTTAACCATCTTAACCTTGCCCCCACTCAACTTACACCAAATGCCTGGAGAGCAATGTTGGGTTGCATGGTTCTTTGGTGAACTTGTGGCAACGGCTCACTAACAGTCGCCCAATTCTTCCATTGTTACTTGGCTAAGAGGATGGGTGATTGGTGGTATTTTTCAATCCGGGATAAGAAGAATGAACTCATTACCGGTAAACCATCTAACAACAAAAAATGAAAAAATTGTTTCTTTTATGTTTCTGGTGACGATTGGGAATTTTCTCCCCATGAGAATCTTTTTTTCGGAGGAGGAAAATCTATTCCTCGTGTATAGGGCGATCCAAACTCCTTTGGTAAGTTCGGTACTTTATTTTTGTTGATGAATTTTTAGTTGCTTTTGATCTTTATCTATTAATTTTTCAGACTTCAAATTTGTGCCTGATGCTTCGTCTCATGACCTCGAAAAAGTGTTGAACGCCGTTGACCATGGAGTGTCAGATTTTTCCATGTTGGTAACTGTCCAAGCCTTGTTTGTTCACGGTTTGGGTCCCAAACCTACCTTTGAATCATCTTGTACAAATGACGGTACATACTATATATATATATATATATATATATATATATATATGTATTATTTATTTATGGAAATTTTAATTTTATTAATTCTGGAAACATGGTAAATGCCTAGAATTTTATTTTGCCTTTTATTAGTATCATTTTTATTATATATATGTGTGTGTGAGAGATAGAGGAAAGTTTAAAACAGAATTAACTTTTCTAACACATATTTAGGAATTAACTTTCCAAAACACATATTTAGGAATTAACTTTCTAAACACATAGTTAGGAATTAGCTATGTGTGTGCGTGATTGCCTTTACTGTCAGGTCATAATATGGATTAAATGTGTATAAAAAGTATCATATTTGATTATGACTTCCAAAACACATAAATAGCTAATTCCTAAATATGACCTGATGCATATTTGATTAGGAATTAACTTTAACACATATGTAGGAGTTAATCTTGTTAATACATAATTATTAACTAGAAGTAACAGTGACCTTTATGGTGAATTGCAAGAAATAATGCAATGTGTAATAGGGATTGGACCTTAACTCAGCTAACATTTTAATAAACAGTGCCTTTGAACCCCTTCATTTTTTTATTTTTTATTTTATTTTTAGTTGTGTTAAAGAAATTCAGCAAGAAAACGCTTGATCAAGCTCGGGAATCAAATGATCTCCCTCTTACCACTCCTCCTAAAAGGAAGCGTGAGTCTAAAACTATGACTAGTGGGAACATACCAGTATTTGACGTCTCTCATCTGCCTTCTCGACCTTTACCTCAATATGTGGGTTCGATCAATGCTAATATTCGGCATCTTACTGTACAAGCTGGTGTGTCTCATCCTATTGTGGAGTCTTTCACTTTCGGCACATCAGTTCTAGATAGCCCAGGTTTTTCATTTGAATGAACAAAGAATTTTTTAGTGAAGGAAGATTTGACTCGATTGAGTTCTCATCCTTCATCTGAAGTGGCAAAACTGTTATTGCATGATCTTGGCAAGGTTAGCTCCTGATTTATTCGTGTCCATTTTTTTTTTCTTTCCTCCTTTTCTTTTAACTTGTCAGCTTATCATCTAGAGCTGTGGAGGTAGAAAAATTATTACGTGAGGAGATGGCTTCTCTCCTTACCAAGCGCCAAGGTCAAATTGATTTGGTTACTATTGTAACGACCCTAGATTTTTCAACCCAGTGTCTCTTGTGATGACCCGAACTGGATCTAGAACGCGGAAGCAAAAGATAAAACAATGGTCTCAAGAGACACAACACATCCCTAAGACACCAATGTGACCCTCAATGAGGTCACGGAACCCAAAGAAAATAAATGCGGAAGCAACATTTCAAAAGAGACTAGAATGAACCTAGGGGCAAAATGGTCATTTCTAAAATAAAAGTGAGTACTACCGAGCACACCATTGGAAAGACAACAAAAAATCAAGTACGATGGACTCAAGAATCACATAATTCGGAGTCCGGATGAAGAAGATATGGCTCACGGAAGAAACGGGGGCAAAAAGGTCAAAAAGAGACAACCCATGAACATCAAACCGGTTAGGAGACCTATCTAACCGGTTAGAAGGCCCTAAAACATGACCAAAACACTGTCCAAGCACATCTAACCGTTTAGAAGACCCCATCTAACCGGTTAGATAACAAAAACAGAAGGCTTCAGCAAGGAAAACCTAACAGCAGGGGTTTTTCTTGGAAAAATGGGTTTTTGAGGGCCAAGATGACATTTTTTGGAAAAACACAAAGAAGAAACCCCCCTCAAAATCGAGTTTTCTATGTCAATTGTAAGAGAATTAAAAAAAAAAAAAATGTAATGTAAAATGTTCAAAATGCCCCTCCATGAAATCTGGTCATGGAGGTCCAAAAAGTTAAATTGAAAAACTGAAAGCTGAACTTCGTAAGCGATTTCCGGTATCAAAAAGACAATTTATAGAAAAAAACGAAGAAGAAACCCCCCCTAAAATCATGTTTTCTATTCAACCATGTTGAAAGAAGAAAATAAAACCACTATGAAAAGTCAAGAATGTCCCTAATTCAGAATATGCAATAAAAATACGAAATGAGTCCATAGGAGGCTCAAATCACAAACGATGAGGTTATTCTTGAAGACAACCATGCACGCAAATGTAACTTATCTATTTAGATGCACTACAATGGTCTATGGCTTAAAAATATAGCCGATGCAAAATTCGACCCCCCAACGGCCAAAAAGGCAAAAATAGACTTGAAATGTAAAACATGGAATCTAAAAATACAAAATGGAGTCAAATAACCGTTTGGTCCTTGGCCACACTTCATACAAGATTAATAAGACCCTATGAAAGAATGAAAATGGAATTTCCACACCCGATGCAACCATGGTGAAGCAATGACTTGCAATTTTTCAAGGTTTTCATAATATTTCATAAAGTTTAAAAGTTACATGGAATCAAAGAATACAAGTTTTACATGTAAGGCTACAAAATGACATTTCATGCTAACATT